ATTATTTAGATTTCACATTAGGCTATTCGACAGTATGGAAAATAAAGTACCAATTTTGCCATAACATGAATATTGAGAACGCTTTCGCTAAATCTAACAAGAAATGTAAGCGGATAATATTGATATCATTAAATAGAAAAGTACTTTTTTAACGATTGTCACGTTAGGGTCACGTGACAATTGTTAAAAAAATACTTTTCTATTTCATGATACGCCTAAGATTAACCAAAACCTAAAATGACTGATGATGCTTGCGAACATCCTGACGAAGTGATTTTACTTTGCGTACTGTTTGACGTTTGATGAGAGCCGTGTGACGTCACCTGCATGTAAACACGCCATATTTGCTAGAGCGACATTTCCGCGGCATATTTGAAGTTTTTTTTTACTATCGTTTTTTTACTGATGATATACATAATTAAAATATGCAAAATATTATACAGGAATAAATAACGTATAAACGTTTTCAAAAACATATCAAATAGCCTATTATCAATAAAATAGATTAAAAATTGCGAACACTTAAATCCATTTGGCAGATCTACTTCTCGCAATAATTATAATCTTATTAAAATGCAATCATTGAGTATTGTAATTGTAATTATTCTTTTGCTTAAGTTTCACAACTTGTTGATAAGTCTAATGTCATTGAACACAAGGCTCAATTTGCATTGACGCTGTAAGAAACGAAAAAACAAAAATGTATAAGACTTAAAAAACTATATTATACTATCAATGTTATTAATCAAAAAAATAGTTTTATGCGTCTCCCAAATAGGTGGTGTAATCCTGCGGGTATTTTATCTGTCAGTCAACTGTCAGATACTTACCAACAAGTGGTCAAACTGTGCTCTTAGCACGAACCAATATCGAATTCGTAACGTTTGCGAGTCCGAAATGTCTTTGTCAAATGTGTACTGAATTTTAGTTCTCGTTACGTACTTTGTGGAGCCGCTGTTCAAGTTTCCATACAAAATTTGACATTGACATTTCGCACTCGTTAAAGTTACGAATTCGATATTGGTTCGTGCTGGGGGTACTGTAGGTAATATCTTGTATACATACATATTTATATATTTAGGTATGTAACACTAAGTATGAATCTAAATATTTTAAGAGAGCAAAGATCTGCTAAGAGATCTTGAGAACGAAGCTACTTTCCGTGTGGTCGTTTAGAGATGGGTGTTGAAAATGTCAAAAGATAATTTACAGCCAGTTTCAACGAAACGAAATTATATTTTATTCAAATTGACTTATTGAAAGCGCTAGTTAATGATAACATTATTTCAAAGCTAGACCCGAATACTACGCTGATAGAATGGGCAACACCAACCGTCAATGTAGTCAAGCCGAATGGTCAGATCAGAATTTGTGGAGATTTTCGTACCACCATAAACCCAGTATTAATGACACATGCGCACCCTGTACCCTTATTTAACCAACTGCGCCGAAGCCTATCAAATGGTAGTAAGTTTTCAAAAATTGATTTAAAAGACGCATATAACTTCAGTTTGAAGTGGCTCCGAACTCCAGGAGATACCTCACAATCGCAACGCACAAGGGATATTATCAATACAACAGAATGCCTTTTGGTATCTCAACAGCCCCATCTATATTTCAACACTATTTGGTCCAACTCTTGGAGGGAATACCAAACGTAGCAGGAAAGCCAAAGGGAAAGGTCTTCCTCCGAGCTGTATGATGGTAGCTCGGGGGCTGAAGGCCTTTTTTTTGAGTGTGTATGCTGTTGGTCGCAGATGACCTTTACAGCGTCACCGGGTTTGGGGACGGCGAGATCCTAAGGGGACCTCGAGCCGATAATTGGCGAGTGCCTCTTGAGGAATTCCAGGCGGATGGCATCTCCCCACGGAGGGAGTCTCCTCTCCGTCTGGAGCCTCTAGACAACTCGAACCTGAAGAGGTCGGCTCAACTAGAGGGCGTCTCTGAGACTCGAACCTCGGCTCTAGTTAGCCGTTGTCGTGGGGGGGTGTCTGATGTTGGTCGGGCATTGCTTATTATGGAATGTAACACGGATTTAACTTGCGCGATGTAGACTTCCATACGTTATGAGCGCAGCGCCGCTAGCGCCATCTTTTGAGGGGGCGAGTGATTATTTCCTCCATCTTGGTTATGTGTGGGGCATGTAGATGTCACCGCCACAGAAAGCGTTTTTGGATCTTTTAATACTTTTTTCCTACTACCTATAATCAAACTCCCAGTAAAATATAGGGCTATTAGAGATTTTTTGTCTAGATATTTTTATTATTTAGATTATAATACAAACTGTGGCTAAGAAACGGAACCAGGTTATCTTTACCTTTAATTGAGATTAGTTATTAAAACTGGCCATAAAAGTGACAGAATCAACTTTAATCATATTTAAATGTAAAATGACGTCTGTGAGTGCGAAAGAAATAGCTACCTCTCCTTTTAATAAGTACAGAATAAAAATAATCCCATAACACTCGCAAACAAAAACGAACCTTAATATACAGCGATAAAAGCTTTTTCGTAGACTAAATCAGCTTTTATCAATTTAGAGAAACCAATGGCCACCCATCTCATTTTGCACCGTACAGAAAATCGCCGCACCACAATAAAGAGTTAAAGTTATTTTGACCGTCATCAATTTCCGTCCTTCTAACTCCATTGGTCCATTTTCTTAGTAGTTCTTTTCAACCAATCATCAACCCATTTTTCCGAATAAAATGGAATTGGGCGTCACTGTGGCATGGCCTATTACGTTTAGGATATGGTTCTTTTGTGTTAAAATACGATCAAAATGTAACCTTTGATTTCATGTGCGTATTAATAAACTTTAAAAGTTACAATTTAGGACCTCACCCAACAGTGGCGCCATCTGGTGAGGCAGAAAACGGTAGCCCTCATTGAACCAGTTATGAAAACAAATAAAATGATTTTTTTTTCTTAACCCAGGTAAGGAAGAAAGTGAATAAAATTATCACTCTTAAAGATGGTTTAGAAGGACGATTGAGAAAGTGGACCATTGGTTGTAACTTACATACAGTGCGACTAAGATCTTTACCCTTAGCGCGAACCAATATCGAATAGTTTGCGAGTGCGAAATGTCACTGTCAAATGTGCACTGATTTTTAGTTCTCGTTACGTCCGTTATGGCGCTGCTGTTCAAGTTTCCATACAAAATTGGACATTGACATTTCGCACTAGCAAAACCATTCGAATTCGATATTGGTTCGTGCTAAGGGTACCGAATCAAAAAGCGATCTAATTTCAAATGGTAACTGCCAACAAGCCACTAATACTTTTTGGTCGGGTAATACTTTGGAAATCTTTTCGTTAATTTATTGTTTATGGGACTAATCTATTGTGTATGCTCAAACGTCCATAGTATTACTTGTATATTTAAGTTGTTATTCTGTGGTCGCACTGTAGTTTTTAATGGTGTCGATTCTGGTATAATTCTCTAAACTTACAACAAAATTTAACATCAGTCTCTCCTTTTCATTCTGTATCGAGAATGACAAGGATACAGTGTTGTCGTATTTAATTTTAGGCATAGAGAATCATACCAGAATCGACACCACTGCCATAGAGTAAGACAGAACATGACATGTTAAGTAACTAAGTACACTATACATCAAATGTTAATTTTATAAATACACAATAATTTTACTATTGCATAATGTCAATTCTAATAATATATATATATTTATTTATACATAATTATAATATTATCGACATATTTATGGATTATCCGTCCATTCATTACAATTTTATTTGCATATATACCTTTTTGTTATTTACTTCAGTTAAAGACGCCATAAAGAAATTTAGTCCATTGGAAATTCATGCTGTCTCTGACTTTGCTATAGCAATGAAACGAGACAGCACGATACTTCGACAAGCATTTCTAATTGGACGTCTTTGAATCAGAGTGAAGTTTTTAAAAATAACAGCAGTTCAGAAAAAAAAAGTATCTGTGCGTATCTTTCTAACCTGCATGTTAATCGATTTCGCAATATAGGCAGTCCTCGTACTTACGGCATGCTAAGCTCTCGAAATACGCGACGTAAATAGAAAAGCCTCCCCACGAACATTCACCCCGCGACAAGTCAGATCTCCTATGCCGGAAATCGAAACAATTGACGTGTGCTTGAGGAATAGTGTCAAAACATTATTCGACGTAACTTGAAACGACGTAAATCGAAACGACGTAAGTCGGGGACTGCCTGTATTGCCAAAGAAAAAGAAGAATATTGGTACCAACATTTGTATGTAATGCCACCATTCACTTTCGTGTTTGCTAATTGTAAACTAGACATCAGTCTGGCCTTTTCATTCCTTATAAAGCATGATAAGGACAGAATGTTGTCAAATTTACATAATAATGTAGCAAATTCGGATAGCCATCAAAGTGGAGGTAAGACAAATAAGGTAAGCGTCAGTTAAAAGACATTGTTCGACAGGACATGAAAACCATAGGGGTATAAGAATAGAGTGGGGAAGACGGCTCTAAAAGTGTCCGTGTAGTAGAAAGAGAAAGAAGACGAGAGACCGCTAGCTATCTCTCTCTTGTGACGCATGACATCCAATGGCATCACATCGAAATAGTAAGATGCTTACGGTTGCCAATGCGCATGCGCGATTAGAGAGAGAAAGCTAGCGGTCTCTCATCTTCTTTCTCTTTCTATTAGAGGGACACTTCCACTTGTAGTAGAGTCTATATCTCCCCTACTCTATTCTTATACCTCTATGACGAAAACTGTATTATAATCGTCCATCCCTTTCATATAAAGAAGATTAGAGAAAGACGCACTGCATTCAAAACATACTCAGCATACATTCAACAGAAACAAATGCAATTAATTAATAAACTAATTAAATTTTGTCCTATTTAAACAAAACTTTTTGGGTCTTTTTTGCTAACAAACCATGCATTTTTTTTTGTTTGTATAATCTCTTTGGTTTTAAGTAAAGCATGTTATTTTTATTTTCTAATACTTGGAACAAAGACATACATTATCTTTCTAATTTGCTATTTAGTTGCTAGAAGTCTCCTTTCGGGCGGTGAAGGAAACGATGGAACGTATTCCTTTAACTGATGTCTGAAAAAAAAACATAAATAAGTATTTTTATTCATAAAATAAATAAGTTAATAATATAAAAACAATTAAGCATGTAACTGCTTGATGTTTAAATCTAAAGAAAATATATCTTGAAAAAATTCCACGCGGACCAGGCAAAAGACGGGACTCGAACCCGCACCCTTCGCAATCCAGGCGAATGCACTGACCAATTATGCTACCGCGGCCCTGACGGCCGCGTCGAAATTCTTCTAGCCATTCTTAAGCTGCAAGGCAGCGCCATTTCTTCGCATTGTAAGTGACCCAAAATTGCATTGCATTCGCCCGGATTGCGAAGGGTGCGGGTTCGAGTCCCGTCTGCTGCCTGGTCCACGTGTATTTTTTTCTAGTTATATTTTCTTTAGATAAAAAAACAATGTTTAAAACTGCTTGATGTTTATTAGAAATGGGCCGTGTACTCATTTTATACTTAGTACTAAAGTTTTTTTTTTAATTACTCATACTCGGGCGAAACGTCGGTTCTAATCACAAGTATACTTAGTTTAAATAAAGTAATATAGTAACATTTTGCATCGCAGACCGTACGTGCTACGGTCTGCGATCGTGAAAGTTAAGAAACTTTCGCAACGGCCGGTCATTGGATGGGTGACCAAAAACGTTTTATATCTCACTCCCCCGTGTTAAGCCGTTGGTCCCGGCTGCATCTGTAGTCGTTAGCACCCACCGATCCGCACTGGGCCCGCGTGGTGAGTCTCGGCCCAATATCCCTATCCCATCCATAGGGAAGTCCTGTGCCCCAGCAGTGGAGATATTAATAGGCTGATGATGATTATTTACTTCTGTGTTTGTGTTTGACGACCTCCGTGTCTGAGTGGTTTGTACGCCGGGTTTCATGGTGTCGCCGACTCGAGAGGTCCCGGGTTCGAATCCCGGTGGGGGCAGATGTTTGTGTGATGAATACGAGCATTTGTACTCCAGTCATAGATGTTTAATATATATTTCTATATGAATATACTTATTTATATATAAATTCTATATGAATATACTTATTTATTTATATATATAAAAATTAGTCATCATCCCTATTGAATATAATTCGTTAATACATAATCTATTTTTTAGTTTTGTAGTAATAATAAAACAGCAAATCGTCGTCTTCTTATTCCTCCAATCATAACTGTAGGTGGCGTTCCATAACAGTATTTAATGACACACTAAAACACAATTCACTTCATCAAGAGACTACGACACTGAGTTGGTTGCGGTCTCATGGTCGCGTCTGTAGTCTCGGTCTCGCCCCGCAGTACGTACAGAAGAGACCGAGACACTTGTCGCGGTCTCCTGTCTCGGTCTCTCACTCGGTCTCCTGTCGCGGTCGCGGCGCGAACCGTCACCTTTATTGAAGCCTAACTTAATAATTCCAAAATTGAACTTACTGCAGTTCTCGACAGGCCCAGGTCTTTTAGAAGGTTATAGAGAGTTTTTGCTAGTATACCTCTCGCTCCTACTTCTACCGCATATAAATTAACTGGATAGTCATTTCGGTTAGTTTGTTGGTTAGATCATAATAATACATTTATAAAGATTTGTATTTTTGTATATTATGTAACAAATAAACTCTGAGCCGATTCAAAAAAATCCAGTGCCAGTAAAACTGCACTTTCTGCCTGTTTAGCATTCTGAACTGAATGAAGTTCATTCTAGTAAAATTTCTATAAATAAATATTTTCCACACTCACACCAATTAGCCTAGCCCCAAAGTATGCACTGGACTCGTGTTATGGAATGCTCGGGTAACGGGTAGAATACATATACTGATACATATATAAGTATATTTTATCCAGAAATATATGTGTATGAACGCTGTTAAATCTTAAACGTTAGAGTTCTCATATGTTTGTGGTAACCCTGCGCGGAACGGCCGCGCCTGCGACAACACAACGCCGTCGGACCGCACCTTTAGAAATATATTTTATGTATTTCTACATAAAATATGTTTATATATGTATCAGTATATGTATTCTATCCGTTACCCTAGCATCCCATAACACAAGCCTTACAGTGCTTACTTTGGGGCTAGGTTATTGGTGTGTTTACAAAAAAAAACAGAAAATGCTAGATTTGCCTTTTCCAAACTTCTATTGACATCACGTCGCTCAATTGTTTTGCCTTCCCGGAACCTCTCCACTAACATTTGTAATTTATGGTATGGTATTAAAGTTCAAATTGACTTTTAAGTATTATTACGAATCGTTTGTATGGGAATATAGAAAAGTGTTGCTTTTGGACATTTTCAGGTATTTTTTTTAAATTTTTCTCTGCGTAAGAACCATCCTCGCACTTCAAGGAATATTTTAAAAAAAGAATACGGGTGATGACTAATTTTTTCTTCCTCGTTTATCAGGTAGATTATCAAAAAGTATTGGACACGTATATTTTCTTTTATCACATAATATAAACATTGCGGAGATATATTGATTTGAAAAGTTGCATGACGTCACGTACAATTTTCACTTAAAAGTGACGTCACGAGCCCCTACTCCCAAACTTTGACGCGCTATAACTTTGTAATTTTTTGGTTGATTGCCCAAAGAAAAAATACGTATCCTAATGGATTTTTTGATCATCTAACTGACGGACTAAATAGAATTTTGTTCACTGTACCCCGTCATCACCCCTATTATCGAAACCGGTTCAGCTGTTCTCGAGATTTGCGCTCAGCAACACATTGAGCGATTCATATTTATATTATAGATTTATACTAAGTACTAACCTTTTTCTTCGATCCGTTTAGATATTCCTTGTACATTTCCGAGCGGAGATAACGCGAGTAGCTGTCAGATTTCATTAGATGATAAACGTGTGCCTGAAACGAAAAAAAATATCAATAACAATATTTTTATTCCTTACTAGCTGTTCCCCGCTGTGTTACCCGAGGTTTATTAGGGAGAGACCAGTCTTTCCCAGTGGGCACTTTGGGCAAGTGCCCAGGGCCCCGCGATCGATACTAGGGACTAGGGACTTTGTATTTGATCTGAAGGGGCCCAGATCAAATACAAAGTCCCTAGTTCCTGTTAAATCACCAAACGGAAGTCATAGGGGCCCCATTATCTTAATATGCCCAGGGCCTCCAATAGGTCACTGATTAGGGATATTTTCCCGCAGTAAAAGGTACCCTATGTGTTAATCCAGGGTGTCAGCTAACTCGCCACATCTCATCACAGCCTATTAATGTCCCCACTGTTGGGGCACAGGCCTTTCCTATGGATGAAATAGGGAGATTGGGGCAGGACCCACCACGCGGGCCCAGTGCGGATTGGCGGGTGCTAACGACTGCAGATGCAGCCGGGACCAACGGCTTAGCGTGCCTTCCGAAGCACGGAGGACTCGAGATAGGAGATTTTTGGTCACCCATCCAATGACCGACCACTGCGAAAGTTGCTTAACTTCAACGATCGCAGACGAACGCGCTGACCACCCGCGCCATCGAGCTCCACCTGATTTAGTTTAATGCGCTCTATTGCTTTTGCTAAAAAGCGCGGCCTATTGTTAGTGGGAAGAGGTTTTTCCTTAGCGCGGCACAAACAGTGATCGCCTTCAAGACACGTGGAACTGCGAAAGCTCTTGAAAAGTATTCCTATTTTTTCGATCATAATAAGTAGAATGTAATATATATTATTACATGCTAGCGGCCCGCCCTCGCTTCGCTTCGGTGTAGAGCTGAAGTGTAGACTACAGTTTTTGTTCTCAGGCTTGTATTATACACAATGACATTCATCTATGATTCTTCTTATACCTGCATGCGAAGTCTTCGGTTTAAAATTGACAAAGTTTCATACAAACTTTCATTCCCTATTTTATCCCTTTGGGAATAGCATTGATCAAAATCCTTTCTTAGCGGAGCCTACGTCATAACATCTACCTGCATGCCAAATTTCAGCCCGATCCGTCCAGTGGTTTGGGCTGTGCGTTGATAGATCACTATGTCAGTCAGTCAGTCACCTTTGAGTTTTGTATATATAGATATGTTAAGCATTTTGACTGCTAGACATTCAATCTATCTATTCTAAAGAAAAGTTTACTAGAAAAAAATCCACTCGGACCAGGCAGCAGACGGGACTCGAACCCGCACCCTTCGCACCCTTCGCTATCCGGGCGAATGCACTGACCATTATGCTACCGCGGCCCTGACGGCCGTGACACTGCGAAGAGATGGCGCTGCCTTACAGCCTAAGGCTAGAGAAAATTCGACACAGCCGTCAGGGCCGCGGTAGCATAATGGTCGGTGGATACGCCCGGATAGCGAAGGGTGCGGGTTCGAGTCCCGTCTGCTGCCTGGTCCACGTGGAATTTTTTCTAGTAAACGTTTCTTTAGATTAGATTGTAATATATTAGAATTAAGTAAAATGAAAAAGATGAGGAGCTCGATGGCGCGGGTGGTTAGCGCGTTCGGCTGCGATCGTTGAAGTTAAGCAACTTTCGCAGTGGTCGGTCATTGGATGGGTGACCAAAAATCTTCTATCTCGAGTTCCTCCGTGCTTCGGAAGGCACTTTAAGCCGTTGGTCCCGGCTGCATCTGCAGTCGTTGGCACCCGCCAATCCGCACTGGGCCCACGTGGTGGGTCATGGCCCAATCTCCCTACTCCATCCATAGGGAAGGCCTGTGCCCCAGCAGTGGGGACATTAATAGGCTAATGATGATGAAGTAAAATGTAATCAATATAACATTAATCCTAATTCAGTTATGCATCGTTTAATTTCACTTCCACATGAGTTTATGAAGGTCTGTTACATAAATAAGTAAATTGGGACAGACCTGAGCTTGATCGAAGCAATATCTGTCGGCTGCACCAGATTCTACTTTAACTCGTGTCTGCTCCCTGAAACAAACAGACATACGTGCATTTATTCTTCTGCAATAAGACAATAGAATATTTTCAAGAAACAATATAAATAAATAAATAAATATTTCCAACACTCACACCAATTAGCCTAGCCCCAAAGTAAGCACTGTAAGGCTTGTGTTATGGGATGCTAGGGTAACGGATAGAATACATATACAGTACATATATAATACGAAAACTATGATAGTTTTCGTACTCGTACTAAGGGTACTGATTTTATTGTTTCAATACAAATAAACAGTGTTTAAATTCTATAATTAAATCATTTGCGTCTTCTTAAATTTTAAGTGAATTTGGTTACTTTTCACCAAAATGGACATAGAAACATAATTTACGTAACGTTTTCGTGAGCTCAAACTCATACTAAGGGTACAGATATATTAGAGAATTATCTTTAAAACAATATCAGGGTATATAGCAACAGACTCACCTGCTAGCTGCATCCACGTTGACTGGTGATGGTGCGTCAGAAGCCAAGAATTCCTTCCATATCTCTTTGGCTCGAACGGCCACGCGACGTATGGGCAAAGCCTTTAATTCTTGAACGGCCAGCCAAAACCTGCAAAGAAATTATGTTAAGATAGATATATAAATACTAAAATGCCCAAATCCCTGTCCATGTTTTTACCTTATACTACCCTTGCAGCAGGCGGGACTCGAACCCACAACCTCCGCATCCGGGCGAATGCACTGACCAATTATGCTACCGCGGCCCTGATGGCCGCGTCGAAATTTTCCTATCCTTAAGCGGCAAGGCAGCGCCATCTCTTCGCATTGTAGGTAACCCAAAATGTCAAATGAATACTTTTTCAAGTATTAAACATTTGAAAGAAGAAATAGCATTTATAGTTATGTTTTTATTTTTTCTATTAAAACGTTTCTTTACATTTAAACATCTAGCAGTTAAATGCGTAAAAAAAACATAATTATACTACCCTTTCTTACCCTATACTACCCCGAAACCGTAGAGCTAGTGCTTTCTAGACAAAAATAATATTTGAGAAGCTGGCGAACAAAACGGTATAATTACATAAAGGAGATTGGCAGAAAACTAATGTGTTTAGGTACCGCCCATAAAATACTTTAGGGGACGCGTATGGTGATGAAAACGATACAAAGTAGTTCGAATATTTTAAGAAACAATTAAGATAATTACTCATATTTTTAGAACATGGGAGTAAAAACATAATTTTAAAGTTCTCAAATAATTGGATTAAATGACTGGGAGTCGAGCCAGTAAGGCGTTGAAAACAAAGAAAAAAAAAATTTTATAGTTTTACGAATGAAAAGTGTTGCCGAAGCATTTGTTATTTGATTTTGAACTATTTGTGTTCTTTATAAAAGGATCGAAGGCTTATCTTTATAACACAGAATATACGCAACATTGTTATGTATATTGAGTGCACATGCAGCGTGTTTCAGTGTCCAATTGTAACTAAAGCGAATTGTGGTCATGCACCACAATTTAAGCGGATCACTTTTGGGCCGCAAGTGCCGTATCTTCCCTAATTGTTTATACTAAGGCTAAGATACTAACTTAAGATTCTCCCCGCTGAATTCTTTGGCCAGGAACCGGGCAAAATGATCCCTTCCAGCGGGATCTTGCAATAACTCCCGTAGCCCAAAGGCCCAGCGTCGCACGCGACGCAAAGGCAACGGGTCTTTGCTAAAAAAACATACAATATTAAATAAAAAAAATGATCACACAAAATAATTGGACGGTCTCCATGGCAGAGTGGTTGGTACGCCGGGTTTCGAAGTGTCGCCTACTCTAGAGGTCCTGGGTTCGAATCCTGGTGGGGGCAGATGCTTGTGTGAACTACCATAATACTGATTCTTTTCACTCAAATGATGTCCTTGAGGAGCTCGATGGCGCGGGTGGTTACCGCGTTCGGCTGCGATCTTTTAAGTTAAGCAACTTTCACAGTGGTCGGCATTGGATGGGTGACCAAAAATCTTCTATCTCGAGTTCCTCCGTTCTTCGGAAGGCACGTTAAACCGTTGGCTGTATCTGCAGTCGTTAGCACCCGCCAATCTGCACTGGGCCCGCGTGGTGGGTTATGGCCCAATCTTAGGGAGATTCATAGATTGTTAGATAGTAATATTTATATAAGCATGTTTAATATGTGGAGGTTTTTAATTGGCTTGTAGATATTGTTTTTGTTTATTTAATAAGTGATTGATAGCTGTAAACCTACCTAAAATAAAATAAATAAATAGGGAAGGCCTGTGCCCTAGCAGTGGGGACATAATAGGCTGATGATGATCTATACATATAATAAAATGGTAGGAAATTCAAAGCTGTACATTGAATATTTTTTTAAAAGAATACTTGGGGTGTGATCTACAATCGACACCAAAGCCAAAAATATAGTTTTTAGAATTTTTGTCTGTTCGTCTGTATGTATGTCCGGGATAAACTCGAAAAGTACTGCATGGATTTACTTCAAATTTGACACGAATATTATTAAGAAGTCGAATCAACATATAGGCTACATATTGGTGTCGAATAAGGCAGGATTCTCTACACTTAATACTAAATTTGACATCAGTCTGTCCTCTTCAGTCTGTATAGAGAATGACAGAGATACACTGTTGTCAAATTTAAGTTTAGCTTTAGAGAATCATGCCAGAATCGACACACGTTACGTTTTACAGTATGGTTGAGTTCATGAATTATGGTAGGATTTGATGCATGGGTTAAAGACATGCTTAATGGGTTTAAATATAACATTTAATTCTGATTCTTTACAAGACCATTCTAATTATGACATTCAGATAATTATGGACATGATAAATTGACGACATCGAATAATTAAAATATTATAATAAGAATTATTGACATTTATATAGGTAATTAATATAGGTAATTTAATAGAAAAATTTGCATGTTATCTTTATATGACTAAATAGGTTAAGAGACAACTTAGATGAAATGTAACACCATTATTTGTACCCTATTTAATGCAAATAAATTGAATTGAATTGAATTGACACCATTATCACGCTATCACCTACGGGGAACGAGCGGTGAACCTTTATTTCTAACTAAGTCCACGCGTACAAAGTCGCGGGCGGCCGCTAGTGATAAATATTACAATCTCACCTCTGTTTCTCCTGGTCCCACAGTTCGGTGGTGTCACTCAACCAAGGATTCGGCCAGTCGGGCGGTGTCAAGAACGCGTCGTACTCCGCGTACTGTTCGCAGTACGATATGAACCTGAAGGAAATTATGCTATTATAATCACACTAATCACACTAATATTATAAAGGCGAAAGTTTGTGAGTATGTGAGTGTGTATGTTTGTTACTTCTTCACGTCTAAACGGCTGGAGCGATTTTAATAAAATGTGGTATGGACTTAGCTGACACCCTGGATTAACACATAGGCTACGTTTTACTGCGAGAAAATATCCCTAATTAACTGCGGGTAACACCGCGGGGCACAGCTAGTAAATAAATAAATATTGCTAACACTCACACCAATTAGCCTAGCCCCAAAGTAAGCACTATTAAGGCTTGTGTTATGGGATACTAGGGTAACGGATAGAATACATATGCTGTACATATATAAGTATATTTATATAGAATTACATATTAAACATCCATGACTGGAGTACAAATGCTCGTAGTCATCACACAAACATCTGCCCCCACCGGGATTCGAACCCGGGACCTCTCGAGTCGGCGACACCATGAAACCCGACGTACAAACCACTCGGCCACGGAGGTCGTCTAATAATAATACAGTGGATCCCCGGTAGTCCGACATACATTTTGCAGGGCAGTGTCGAACTATCGAATTTGTCGGATTATAGAGTACCTACTGCCTAAGACTTTTTTTTTTTTTTACAAAAGAGTACCTTGTAATCCGACAAATTACAGATCCAATGATAAGATTACAAATCATACTTTGTTATGTATGTCAAATTAAGTAAATTAAACAACACAATAGAAAGATTACGTTTTATTATAAAAGTAACGTAATAAAATAAAGTAATGCTATAGATTTTAGAAAAAAATATAAAAAACAATACCCTACGCGTCGAGCACAAAGTGATGGTGCGTACAAGTTGTAACTTGTTCAATCGTGAATTAGCGAATACTTGTATGTAATAGACGATGTCGGATTATAGGGGGTGCCGTATTAGCCAGGGGCCGGATTACCGGGGCTCCACTGTAAATAAATAAATATTACCAACACACACACCAATTAGCCTACAAGGGCGGATCCAGCTTTGGTGCCAGAGGGGCGGAGGGGGGGGGGGGGTCATAAAGTCGTGGTATATTAAATATTGAAAGTACTTAAATAAAATCCTCCTGGGTTTGGTCCATCTGTACCCAGCCCGGGGGGAGGGGGGGGGGGGGGTCATGACCCCCATAATAATAATAATTTATTGCATAAAAATATGGTATAAAAGGTGTTTGATTATTCTCATGTCTCACATATTTTACTGTTGAACAGCATGCAACAGTTTTTAAATCAACTTAAAATTAAAATGTAATGCTTGTAAGCTTATCAGTATCATGCCAAGATCAAGATCAGACCATGGATCCGCCCTTGTTAGCCTAGCCCCAAAGTAAGCACTGTAAGGCTTGTGTTATGGGATACTAGGGTAACGGATAGAATACATATACAGTAAAACTCTTGAAAACCTTTTTATATGGATATTCAGTGTTTGATTTTCTTCTTTTTTGTCTTTTTGTTATGTTTTTGTCCAATCTTAATTTTATTTTATTTTTATGTTAATGAATTATATGATTTTTATGCAATTTTTAAAATTAAATTAAATTAAATGTAATAACTACTGACATATAATAACGCCGTTAATATCTAATGTGTACGTAATGAGTTTCTGTAATTGGCTTTAAGATTATATCTATATTTTATTGTATTAAATATCACAAAAACCGCTGTAGAAACTTTGTTAAAGATAAATAAATAAATAAATAAAATATCCCTAATAAACCGAGTGTACCACGGGGCACAGCTAGTATATAATAACTGAGAGGGTTAAAAGGCTGATTACCAAGGCGATTAAGTGTCACTGTCATATTCATTGTTACAATGTGACGAAATACCTAAACTCATATAAAATTTCAATTTATTCAATAGGATTTGGTGAAAGCCTGAATTAGAATAATTAGAAAAGGGATCTGCGTATAAAGAAACGTTATCACCTAGACTCAATTTGTCATTGACTGACAGATGACGGCTTATACTATTGGTTTTGATATAATTTTAGAAATGGAAAGAAGAAAAAAATAAATTTTATTGACCATAAACAGTATTGTTACCATAAATAAAAACAATAAAAAAATTTTGGCCAACTAGGTCCCTGCCTCAGCTTGATACTACAGCAACACCAGGGCTGCTGCAGCGCTGAAGATTCTGGCAGGGCAATTTTAGATATATTTTTTTTGATTATTTGTACCAAGGTACAAAGATCTAATTTCGTAAAAATGGGACTATATCTATCTTTTTTCACTGCATTATCGAACTTATTGGTAAAAAGAGGACGCCTCAAATGCATTTTAATACTATTTTAGCATTCCTTCTATACACCGTGACTTTTGAGTTACCCGAGAAATATAAAAATCGTGCAAACAAAAACAGTGCGAACCGTTATAAACAGCAAACATACTACCCACACAAAAATATTGATTTATATTTAAAATTTTTATTATTTTAAAGCATGTAACTGCTTGATGTTTAAATCTAAAGAAAATATAACTAGAAAAATTTCCACGCGGACCAGGCAGCAGACGGGACTCGAACCCGCACCCTTCGGAATCCGGGCGAATGCACTGACCAATTATTATGCTACCGCGGCCCTCACGGACCGCGTCGAAATTCTTCTATCCATTCTTAAGCTGCAAGGCAGCACCATCTCTTCGCATTATAGGTAACCCACAATGGGTGCGGGTTCGAGTCCCGTCTGCTGTCTGGTCCGCGTGCAATTTTTTCTAGTTATATTTTTTATTATTTATATTGTTAACAGATATCGTAAAACGGCACAATAAATAACATTCCTATAATGGAATTATTATCCATTTCATAATCTTAATAATCAAAAAACAATTAATTCAGTTTAGGCTGTTACAAGCACTCATGAATGTCTAGAAGCTACGCTATCGGTTTGCAAATCTACGGCGGGAGACCTTGTACTGAGAAGAACCGGTAAGAAACTCAGCAAGGGCTGTTTAAAGTACGCGTAACGGCGGTAGTTTTATTTGAATCAATTTAAACAATTAAAATAGGGTATTTGACAAGTTTTAGAAAACGATTTCACATTATTGACTAATGCTTATGGAGTCCGTAAAAAGTGGATATTCATCATTCTGTTGTGTATTTCAGTAAAAATAACCAAATCAAAAAGTCCATTTTCAAGTTGCCGCGAAAACGTTTTTCTGGACAATATGACGTCTTACTAGTGTGTGACGACACACAACTGTTATTAAAACGTCAAACGATCACTTTAACCGGAAGTTTACTTGCGTGTGACGTCATTTTGACGTCAATCCCAAGCGTTTTGGGTCACGTGACAATAGATAAGAAAACTATTATCTTTTCCGTGGGTTTTTAGTAAATTTATGAATATTTTTTTTGTAAAAATAGTAAAAACCCATATATATTATTAAATAATATTATTCATTCTAAACACAGATGCCAACAATTGGCACTTTAGTTTTAATACTGTCAAATACCCTATTGTTAACACTTTATAATTGCAGAAATGGTGAGTTAACGTAAAAACATTTATGGGAAAAAGAATTAAGAAAATATAAGCTAGTTTGCCTATGACCATACGACTGAAGTGAAACTTCTTTAGCTCCATCTGTATGTATATATATAACGTGTAACTCATAACGCATTCGCCAGTTTACCACCCAAGTCAAGCGTACCTAAATTGTTCATTGTTTACCGATGAGTCACCGGTGACACTAACCGTAACGCGTAACTCGTAACACATTCGCCAGTTTACCACCCAAGTCAAGCGTACCTAAAGAATCACTTCATTTTTTTTTTTATGAAATATAATCTAAATCGTTGTCTGAATCAGCTCGTAAAGTTTCTCAGGTAACTCAAAATTCACTGTGTATATATAAATTATTATTCAAAGGAAATAACAACAATTAATGCGTGATGGATGAACGACTGAACATTTACTAAACGAACAGTGAAAACGAAATCAGTAGCAAGTGACTAATAGAGGGTGTATTCCGTAATATACACCAGTATACTGGCCAGTGCTAATGACGTCATGGATCGACGCTATACTGGTGAATTGTTCCGAAATATATTGGCCAATGCACTGACGTCATATCGACGAAATATTAAAAATAATGCGAATAAAGAAGATTTTTATTCACCTCCTTTGTTCGGATGCCATTATTGTTCTTTAAATAAAAAAGAAATAAAATTCGAATGCATCTCACGCACGCTCGGTCATACGTCATATTCGTTTTCCCGGTAAAAATATGGTAGCATACCAGTACAATATGGCGTCGGATTCGTGACGTCATTACCACTGGCCAGTATACTGATGTATATTTCGGAATACACTCAGAGTGAATAAAAGAGTGTTTTAAGGAATGAATGAGTGAAGGAGAGCATGAATGAGTGCAGGAATTAAGAATGAGTGAGTGAGTGTATGGTGTGTAATATTACCATGGAGGTATAAGAATAGAGTAGGGGAGATATAGACTCTACTACAAGTGGAAGTGTCCCTCTAATAGAAAGAGAAAGAAGATGGGAGACCGCTAGCTTTCTCTCTCTAATCACGCATGCGCATTGGCAACCGTAGGCATCTTACTATTTCGATGTGATGCCATTGGATGCCATGCGTCACAAGAGAGAGAGATAGCAAGCGGTCTCTCATCTTCATTCTCTTTCTACTAGACGGACACTTTTAGAGCCGTTTTCCCCGCTCTATTCTTATAACTCTATGAAACGAAATTAGTCGCAAATGACTGATAGAGTGAATGAAAGAGTGAGTTAAGGCATGAATGAGTGCAGGAATTAAGAATGAATGAGTGTATGGTGGATGGAGATGGAGTAATATTACTTACATTTCAGCCACTTTACTGACTCGCACGTTGCGTCTCTCCAGTCTTGCTCGTAGTACGGCTAATTGTTTCCGCGCCGCTTCAATTTGTGCGTTAATATCGGGCGGGGAAGGTTTATTATCGCTCGATATAGCCACTGTTATCTCCAATTGGGATGTTTCCCCTGTTAATAAATCATAAAATAGAGACGTAAGTGGTATGACATTTTAAAATTTGGGTAGCAACAAATAACAGCCTATAAATCATTTCGCCAGCATACAAAAATGTTACTAACCATAGATATTATCTAAGACTAAAGTACGTTACCAAACACGATACGACTACGTCGTATTTTTTTTTTTCATTTATTTTGGCAACAAACAGTCATTTTCATATTTTTTTTATAGCGAGGTAGGCAAATGACTCTACCCCACCTGATGTTAAGTGGTGATAAAGTCCAAACGCGAAGATAGCTGGTACAGCAGTTATAAACTGCCACACCAATCATCCTCACCTTGCCGGCCTGCAAAAATGCTTCTTAACGCCTCTCTTTGGTATTGTATTGAGCTACATGTATATATATGTAAATACATATTAATAGACCAAACAGTGTCCAAAGCTTATTACAGTTATAGTAGCAAAGAGAGTCTTAACATAAATAGATTCACACGCGATTCATCTAATGCTAAACAAATTATTGACATAAAATATTAAACAACTTACAACAAAAACAGAAATTTTCATAAAAACCATTTTATTTTTTGATTCCATCAATTTACCATTTAGTTTTCTTTTTAAACTATTGACAGATAGATTGCATCGGAGAGAGATCCAAATCAGAGAACTCTTTTTTATACACGTTTTATTATTATAGTAATATAAGTTATTTACGGGATTGTTACCATGTACCTTGTTTTTAGCGAGTTTCCGATATTTCGGCACTGTTGCAAGCGCCATGATCGCTAAAAACAAGGTACATGGTAACAATCCCGTAAATAACTTATATTACTATAATGTTAGTGACCATGAAAGTTTAAAACGTTTTATTATGGCCACCTTCCAGTTCCACCATCAGACCCTGGATACTCGATGGGGTTATGTCGTTTTGTAACCTAACCCCAAAGAAAGACTGCGATTCCACAGAAGCGTAGCTGAGCAAAGTCTTAAAGAAATCGACCAACGGCATTGCTTAAAATATACATCAACATAATCAGCCTATTAATATCCCCACTGCTGGGGCACAGGCAGATGGGATGGGGAAATTGGGCCGTGACACATTACGAGGGCCCAGTGAGGATTGGTGGGTGCTAACGACTGTAAATGCGGCCGGGAGCGACGGCTTAACGTGCCTTCCGAAGCACGGAGGAGTGAGAGATAGTAAATTTTTGGTCACCCACCCCATGACCGATCACTACGGAAGTTGCTTAACTTCAAGGTTCACAAACGAACGCGTTAACCACTTGTGCCTTCGAGCTCTAAATATACACTCAATTTATTTTGATGACACACAATATATTTTGAAGAATGCAAATGGGCATTTATTTCCTTTAGGATTCTGCTCAACTCTGCGCAACTCCGCTTTTGTAAAAACTTAGCTTAAGCACTGTAAGACTTGACTTAATGATACCTACATAGATAAGTATATTTTTCTGATATAAATATATGTCAGAGATTATGGTGTTATTGATTTATTCTGTTGGCAGCACTTTTTTCTGTGGCGTAACTGAATGACGTGAGTGACGTTGTCAATATCAGTGTCAGTATCAACTTTGTATCTGTCAGTAGTGCGTTTGATCGAGGAGCTCTCTTGCTCTTGAGACAGCGCCCGCGCCGGACGTGCGCACTGATCGATAAGCAAACGACATGGCGGACCGCGATAAAGATATTATTGAGTCAAATCCGTTTGAATCTACGACATATATATAACCAGCCTATTTGATTTAGTTTGCCTTCAATTATGTTGTCACTAGAGGCCGCCCGCGACTTCGTCCGCATTAACTTTAGTTTTTTTTATTTGAGAATCCCACAGAAAGCTAATTGTTTCCAGGATAAAAGTATCCTATGTCTCAATTCAGGTCATTAACTATTCAAATTTCATCCAAATTCGTTCAGTAGTTTTTGAGTGATTGAGTAACAAACGTATAAACTTTCACGTTCATAATAATACTATTAGGGTGTCTCACCGTTTTCCTTTGGTGTGTTGTCTGTGGTTTTCTTCTGTATCTGCTCCTCACTCTCTTGTGGATTGGTTATGGTAACTATGGGATTGTTCTATTGAAGGAAAACATAAGATTTATAAATAGATAAATAGTCTATGAAACATTAAGTGAAATTAAAACAAATCTTATTGAAATTGACTTGTTCCTATCAATCGATCTTAAAGAGACTTCTTTTCTCAAGAGACTAATCAGCTTTTAATCGTGGCAAGGACATTTACGTTAAAACTAAGTCATTACCATGGAGGTTAGAGAGAAGGAGAACGATCGCTGTGGAAAATAGTTTTCCCGAAATATGGACAAAAAATACAAACTTAATGAATTAATTAATGTTTTAATGACAAGATTGTGGAGAGACTGGTATCTGAACTAGGCCGCAGCCTGTATCTCAGAAGACCAGTACTCTCCCCACTTTACAGTGCGATCGATACATAATAACAAAATTACATGTTCTGTAAAAATAAAATAACTGTATCTTAGCAATGTTGAAGAGAACTATAACATCAGAATGTAATCATTTAATGTAATAGGTACGTTAAAATATAATGTTTAGGTAACTGAAATAATGAGCAGTTTCTGGTGTCGCGTTGCTGAGAGTATGTGTGTGGGTGTGTGTGTATGTTTGTGTGTGTTTGTGTGTGTGTGTGTCTGTAACAGCGGGCTAATTTGAAATGACCAATGCCGCGAAGAAAATTTGTACAATATTCAACTAACTTCATCTACTTGTACTCATAAACAGCTAACTTCACAGATACTACTTACCGACGGCAGCGCGGCTGGTGGCTGAAAAATGAACTATAAATTCTACAAATTTTCAGGGACACGCGGGCTAATGCTTTTGTAAGTAGCGATCGTTCTCCTACTCTTTAACCTCCATGGTCATTACCAATACAATGGGGATGAAAACGCAAAGATCATTACAGATGGCGCTTTAGCCGTATGGTCCAAAACAAGCAAACTGTCACTTCGAGGCTGCGTTCTTAACTTACGCTCTGAGTGCAACCATTTACACCGACGTTTCGATTTTGAATAAAGAGTATGAAACTAATGTCAAATTAGTAATTTTTCGCACCTGGAGGTCTACTCAAATTCAACGAACAACTAAATTTCCGACGAAACTTCGCAGGTTTCCTACTTTTTTTCTTATTCGTTTCTAATAATATTCGTTCGCCCGAAAATAGATTGAGGTTTATATTCTCTCTGAGGAGCTCGATGGCGCAGGTGGCTAGCGCGTTCGGCTGCGATCGTTGAAGTTAAGCAACTTTCGCAGTGGCCGGTCATTGGATGGGTGACCAAAAATTTACTATCTCGAGCTCCTCCGTGCTTCGGAAGGCACGTTAAGCCGTTGGTCCCGGCTGCATTTGCAGTCGTTAGCACCCACCAATCCGCACTGGGCCCGCGTGGTGGGTCATGGCCCAATCTCCCTATTCCATCCATAGGGAAGGCCTGTGTCCCAGCAGTGGGGACTTTAATAGGCTGATGATGATGATGATGATTATATTCTCTAAGCCTCATCATCATCATCAGCCTATTAATGTCCCCACTGCTGCGGCACAGGGCTTCCCTATGCATGGAATAGGGAGATTGGGCCATGAACCACCACGCGGGCCCAGTGTAGATTGGTGGGTGCTAACGACTGCAGATGTAGAGGGGACCAACGGCTTAACGTGCCTTCCGAAGCACGGAGGAACTCGAGATAGAAGATTTTTGGTCACCCATCCAATGCCAAACAACTGCGAAAGTTGCTTAACTTCAACGATCGCAGCCGAACGCGCTAACCACCCGCGCCATCGAGCTGCTCTAAGCCTACTCAATGAAACATTGAATTTGATAGTTTATCGTTCAAATCAAGTATTATAACCTTAAGTTGACGAAATTAAATTTCGTTTGTTGTTTCGTTACCGAATGTTCGTTTCGGAGAAAGAGAGTAGACTCCCAGTAGCGTAGGTTTCGAACGCAGCCTTAGTTACCGGAATTATTCGGTTTTCATTGTGTCTTTGACAGCTGTCTCGGTTTGTTGTTAAGAGCCATTCGTCTATAGAGGTATAAGAATAGAGTAGGGGAGATAAAGACTCTACTACAAGTGGAAGTGTCCCTCTTATAGAAAGAGAAACAAGAAGAGAAACCGCTAGCTTTCTCTCTCTAATCGCGCATGCGCATTGGCAACCGGTAGCATCATACTATTTCGATGTGATGCCATTGGATGTCATACGTCACAAGAGAGAGAGAGAGAGATAGTTAACGGTCTCTGTCTTCTTTCTCGTTCTACTAGACGGACACTTTTAGAGCCGCCTTCCCCACTCTATTCCTATACCTCTAAGGTTTTCCTTGTGACTTTGACAGCTGTCTCGGTGTGTTGTTAAGGGCCATTCGACACCTGCGCCTCTGGCGGGATAAATTGGCAGTTTTTTCCCCTATTAAAAATCTAAAATTAAATTATATTCATATAACATGAATATTCATACATCAAAATCAATTTTTAACAAGTCACTAATTACTTTATTGAAAAAAGTTTCTTCTATATCCAGGCATTTCGAACGTTCAAATAATCTTGTACTAACAGAGGTAAGGCATAGCGGATTTTCCGTTAGAATTGGGGCGCCTGTTTGGGAAAGTCACCTCCATCTAGGGTTACATTTTTTCTATTAAATATAGTATTTTCAAGGATTTCACGCCAGAAGACGGATTTCGATTGCGTGTTGGTGCGTGGATTACATCCGTGTAGCCGAAAATCATAACGCGGATGGACATCAACTTCCCAGCAAGGTCACCTTGGTTGGTACGCTGGATAACATCCGTCTAAATCAAATCAGAAATCAATATATCTTTATTCAAATTGGATGTATAGTACAACACTTTTGAATCGTCCAAACATTTTTTTTCCCTACCACTCGTTATTGGACATATTTTTTAGCTGCGGAGAAAAACGAGCGAAAAAAACTCCACAACATTAAAAGCATAATGTAACAACATTTACAAATCATTATGTTGTTACAACGTCAATACAATCATCATTTATTTAATATAGAAAACCTGTTGGAATGATTGGAACAGTTCAAACCCAAGCATTTTTGTCTGTAATATAATTAGACACTTAGTAATAAGCTTTTTTAATAAGTGCTTTTTTTATACTATCTTTGAATTTATTTATGCTTAACTCTTGGATATTGCTTGGGACTTTATTGTGTAAGCGAACACAAAGACCTTTAAATGAATTATTGATTTTGTGAAGCCTAGTAGCAGGTAAAGTTAGTTTATTTTTGTTTCTTGTATTAAGTGTGTGAACATCACTGTTTTTAAGAAACAAATTAATATTTTTTCTTACAAGTAATAAATTTTCGTAAATGTATTGTGATGCGACCGTCATTATACCAAATTCTTTAAACCTATCTCTTAAGGAATCCTTAACTTTAAGATTATAAATTGATCGAATAGCTCTCTTCTGCAGCACAAAAATAGTTTGAATGTCGGCGGCGTTTCCCCACAATAAAATTCCGTACGACATTACACTATGGAAATAACTAAAGTATACTAATCTGGCCGTATCTACATCCGTTAACTGGCGTATCTTCATTACGGCATATGCTGCAGAACTAAGTCTATTTGACAATTTATCAATATGTGGGCCCCATTGAAGCTTAGAATCTAAAGTAATCCCTAAGAATACTGTGGTGTCTACAAGGCCCATATTCCTATCCTTTACATTCACACTGGTTTTTACCTGTTTTACATTAGGTAATACAAATTTAATACATTTCGTTTTTCCTTCATTTAGTAATAAATTATTAACATTAAACCAGTGGACTACCTTAGAGATAAAATAGGCTTTAGTGACCATGAAAGTTTAAAACAATATACATAATATCTTAATATTTATCTACATAAATTTTCAGTGACCGGAGTCCACTGTTATGCTAAAAGTACTGTAACAGATTATTATTATAATGAATGAATGAATGAACAACTGACCTTAAGATTGTGTTGCAATATGAGATCCTGGGCTTGCCTCAATCTCTTTGCTTTCAAAGCGTTGATCCGGGACAATTTCCTTGGATCCAGCTCCGTTGTGTTTACGCAGCCAGGCTATTTATAAATAAATTATAATAATATTTTTTTTGCATCATAAATATTTTTTCAATCGTGAAGTACATTTGGTTGCGATCCAATTATCACTAAAAGGAGCTCAAGTTGTTGGAACACTAGCTACCTTACTAATTTGACAAGACAACTTGTATTAATAAATAAATATTTCCAACACTCACGTTAAAAGTAAGCATTGTAAGACTTGTGTTTTGGGATACTAGGGTAACGGATAGAATACATATACTGATACATATAAAAGTATATTTATATATAAAATTCTCGTGTCACGGTGTGCGTAATTGAACTACTCCGAAACGGCTCGATCGATTTTCGTGAATTTTTATATGCATATTCAGTAGCTCTGAGGATAATATCTATTTTTCATCAATGTTAAGGGTGGTCCAGCCTTAATTTTGTTTTTGTCAATTTTTTTTGTTTTTATGATACATCATACAAAAATACATACAACCCTAAATTTTCACCTTTCTACCACCAACCCCTATTTTTTATGGCGGTGCGAAGTTTGCTGAGACAGCTAGTATTTATATAGAAATACATATTAAACATCCATGACTGCTCGTATTCATCACACAAACATCTGCCCCCACCGGGATTGGAATCCTGGACCTCTCGAGTAGGCTACACTTTGAAACCTGGCGTGCATACCACTCGGCCACGAACGTCGTCAGTATATTATTTTAATCTTTAAACATTATAAATCCAAGGGATCTTAAATTAATCACGTGAGACTCGAAAGGGGATCCAACGAATCAGAAATGATATGGAAGCGACACGATTGTCATTAAAACGTCAAACGATACATCGTAATGTCACTTTGTCCGGAAGCATACTAGCGTGTGACGTCATTTCAGTCTTGGCCAATCCCAGGCGTTTTCGGTCACGTGGTCATGGAGCAAAAAAAAACATTTCTATATAATGATTTTATACAAAAGATAAAAATATTTTTTCTTTCAGAATAGTGAAATCGCTATTAACATTCATATTAAATACAGATGTCAACAATAGGGTATTTGACAGTATTAAAAATAAAGTGCCAATTGTTAGCATCTGTGTTTAGAATGAATATTGGCAGGGGATTCTACTATTTTTACAAAAAAAAAACATAAATTTACTAAAAACTCACGAAAAAAATGATAGTTTTCTTATCTATTGTCACGTGACCCAAAACGCTTGGGATTGGCGGAGCCTAAAACGACGTCACACGCAAGTAAACTTCCGGTTAAAGTGACATTACATTGTATCGTTTGACGTTTTCATAACAGTAAACACACTAGTAAAACGATATATTGTACAGAGAAACGTTTTCGCGGCAACTTGAAAATGGAGTTTTTGATTTGGTTATTTTTACTGAAATACACAACAGAATGATGAATATCCACTTTTTACGGACTCCATAAACATTGGTCAATAGCGTGAGATCGTTTTCTCAAACTTGTCAAATACCCTATTGGTACATTATTTTTCATACTGTCAAAGAGCCTATTCGTTGCTTTAATTCATTTTAAAACGCATCAAATTACTCAATACCTACCATTAAAGATTAATTTAAATATTATATTTACCATTGGCCGATGGACGTCCCAGAAGGCTCTCTCTTGACTATCCAGAACTTTCCTTTCCAATTTATCTCGTTTCTTGTCCACCTTAAACCAAAGCAGACAATTATACTCGGAAATTTCCAAACATTGAAACGCTTAATCTTTGTAATTTTTTGGTTGATTGGCAAAAGAGACATTTCTTTTTTTTTTTAACACCAATTAGCCTAGCCCCAAAGTAAGCACTGTAAGGATTGTGTTATGGAATACTAGGGTAACGGATAGAATACATGTAAAGTACATAAATAAGTATATTTATATAGATATACATATTAAACATCCATGACTGAAGTAAAAATGCTCGTATTCATCACAAACATCTGCCCCCACCGGGATTCGAACCCGGGATCTCTCGAGTCGGCGACACCATGAAACCCGGCGTACAAACCACTCGGCCACGGAGGTCGACAATAATTGTCTATTATTAATACTAAATCCCAAAGCAGTTTAAATGCAGGCCTTCTGAATTAATAAGAAGAAAACCACGCATGTGGCAGACAGAAAAGTGTTTTTATTGCGTAAGACATTTTTTATCTAATTAATGATAATGATTAGATGTGATAATAATAATGACGTGTTAAGACAAAGCTATGATAATAATAATGACATGACAATGATAAAAGTATTTATTTAAATATGATATAAAGTAATAATTTAATACAGTATTAGATTTTTTTTCGTTTTAAACTAAAATTTTTTTCATGTTAATTTATTGTTAACTGAATTCAGAACTGTAATACCTATATCTTATTAACACCATGTGCAAAATGTGCATTCTTAGCAAATAAAATAAATTGAATTATTTTTTTAATACAGACAGACTAAACAGAATTTCGTTATATTACCCCGTTATCACTACTATGGTGCCGTTCAAGTATTACGTAAGCACTATAGGGGGGGCCGGGGGGTTTTTGCTTTGCTTATTTTCGATGACATGGGGGAGCGGGTGGTCGAGATAGTGATTACGTCAGCATCATGGATTCGGGTGCCATAGACTGTTAATTGGAATTAATATGTATAAAAAAAATCGAAAGAAGTTTGTTTTATTCGTAATAGTACTTAATAAGATTATAATATTTGTACCATACTCTATGCTGAATACTGTGTCAATAAACTTTGTTTACATGAATATTATGTGCGTTAAATCCTCTATCCTAAGCCTATTTAAGTACTACTGCTCATGAAGCTCATGAAAGCTCATGAATCAATAAAAAAAACAGAATACCTACATTAATGGAAAAATGCATATAGGTACCAATATTTACGTAAGCATGGGGGGGGGGGGGGGCTAAGAGCTTTGCTTACTTTTGCTGACAAGGGGGAGGACAACACTTGAGATTAGATTAGAGATTATTATAAGATTTAAAAAAAAACTTTTGACTTTGAATCAACAATAATGATGATAATACATACCTTGCTCTGTGCCTCCGCTTGCATGAATATAAACTCCCATTTCCTACTAAACATCTTCTGAAGGCGCGCCAAAGACTCCGCTTCGTAATCAGCGAGTTCCAACCTGGCTTTGTTCTGCATTGTTCTTTTGCATAAGTATACAGCTGCAAACAATTATAAATATACTAGCAAACCAGTGAACCAAATGTTCACAAAAAAAAAATGTATTTAATTAATTGAGAACTTTGGAGCTTTTGTGTGGTTTCCTTTGAAATAGAAATCACGTGATTTCTCGAAAACCGGAAGTGCTACGTTACTCACATCCGGTTTGTAGTCTTATCAGACTATTCTCAACTTATAACTTAAACATTCTCTTTATCTATCTCTTACGGTTTGGCCGCTGAAACAGCACCACGGACGGACGGACGGACGGACGGACGGACTTGTCTAATAGATAAGAGATAAAATGAAAAAAAAAACAACGGGTTGCACTCCGGGAGTGCTGGCAGAAGTGAAAACTTGAATATTAACGTTGTGCACTTTTGATATTTTGAATGGTGAGGAATAATTTTGCACGAATTGCTTTAATTATCAGTATAAAAGTAGTATCATGTATGTGGTAGAATACAATATTTATTTATTGCGCTATCGTACACTAATATGAAAATTTATATTACATTAAAAAAGTTTATCTCTCAGAAAAAAAAACTTATATGAATCACGTTTAAGCGCACTTAGCGACATCTATTGTAAAGAAATCAACTTACATGAATCACATTTAAGCGCACCTAGCGACATCTATTGTAAAAAAAATGCATTTTCTTCGCAATAAAGCTGCCACGTGGACGTCCTAGATAGAGACTTATTATTTATAATACGGTAAAATAAAACATTACTATGTTTCGTCCAATATATTGAAAGTCAAAAACCTTTCCAATTTTATTGTGTGTCATGATGCGATCAGCCCATGTGTTTAACCTGTCGCGAGTTTAACATTTTTTACCCATACAAAGAAAGTGTACAACGCCGCTAAAGAAGTTTTCACTTCAAAAAAGAGATTTTTATTGTTTTTCTTTTTTAATTTGCATGACGCGGCAGCCTAAAATTAAGATACCACTTTGAAAAGTCATTTATAAATTAATACTAATAAGTGGATAGTGGATATTGGAGGAGCTCGATGGCGCAAGTGGTTAGAGCGTTCGGCTGCGATCGTTGAAGTTAAGCAACTTTCGCAGTGGTCGGTCATTGGATGGGTGACCAAAAATTTACTATCTCTCACTCCTCCGTGCTTCGGAAGGCACGTTAAGCCGTTGGTCCCGGCTGCATCTGCAGTCGTTAGCACCCGCCAATCCGCACCGCCAACGCAATAGTACATTTATAGTTTTTTGAAGTGAAACTTCTTTACGCACGTATGACTTGGGGTGGAAGCTGGCGAACGCGTTACGCGTTACGAAAAGTGTGAACGGGCGAGGCGAACGGGAGTTGAGTGGGGTATATATATATATATATAATATATATATACACACATACAGATAGAGCTAAAGAAGTTTCACTACAGTCGTGTGGTCATAAGCACACTCGTTTTTTTACTCAAATAGAGTGAAATACCCTATTCATATACTCCTCAATTAAGCACTGTAACGCTTGTATTATGAGATACTAGAGTAACATAAATTATCAAAATTCTGTTATATCTCATTTTAGTAAAATAAAGCATTTGCGAGAAGTATATTTCTTAAATCTTTAAGTATATTTCTTTAACTTTCATGACGACGACATGTTCTAGACGTCACACACTAGTAAGACGCCATATTGTCCAGAAAAACGTTTTTGCGGCAACGTGAAAATGGAGTTTTTGATTTGGTTATTTTTACTGAAATACACAACAGAATGATGAATATCCACTTTTTACGGACTCCATAAACATTAGTCAATAACGTAAGATCGTTTTCTTAAACTTGTCAAATACCCTATTAAGCATTTAAGTCTATATTTGGTTGCAACTTGTGGTTACCTCCGCTATGACTTTATAGGTTCAAAAGATGTGGCAGGTAAAACTGCAGTATCAGCTATCTTCGCGTCTGGACTTCACCTTCACTTAACATCAGGTGGGGTGGAGTCATTTGTTGGACCTATCTATAAAAGGCCGCATGCAAATATGACCCTTAATTACAAATATATTTATGTCTTACCATAGTCAGTGTTCTCTGGTTCCCATTGGTTGGAGGGCCAGAAGTAAGGTGTTTGGAATCTGCAAGAAAGATCAAAATATCTAAGTAATGTAAATTGAAAAACTAACGCCTACAATGCGAAGAGATGGCGCTGCCTTGCAGCTTAAGCAAGGCTAGAACGAATTCGACACGGTTGTCAGGGCTGCGGTAGCATAATGGTCAGCGCAGCGCATGGTCGCCCGGATAGCGAAGGGTGCGGGTTCAAGTACCGTCTGCTGCCTGGTCCGCATTGATTTTTTTCTTGTAATATTTTATTTAGATTTAAACATTGAGCAGTTACATGCTTAAAAATTAAAAATTATAACTATAATTGCTATTTCTTCCTTCAAATATTTCATTCTTCATTTGACACTGTGGGTTTACCTACAATGCGAAGAGATGGCGCTGACGGTAATTGGATGGGTGACCAAAAATTTACTATCTCGAGCTCCTCCGTGCTTCAGTAGGCACGTTAAGCCGTTGGTCCCGATTGCATCTGCATTCGTTAGCACCCACCAATCCGCACTGGGCCTGCGTGGTGGGTAATAGCCCAATCTCCCTATTCCATCCATAGGGAAGGCCTGTGCCCCAGCAGTGGGGACATTAAGAGGCTGATAATGATAATGACGATGACGATTTATATATTATTATTATTAGCATGTTTACTTGTTTTATTTAATGAATGGCGTGCGTGAAAACCTAAGAAACAAATATAATTCATGAATAATTGTTATAAAATGAATTTTGAAGCAATATTTTAATAATTATTTTTGAGAATGTCCACTTTACCTGTAATAAGTGTTATCATTCTTGACGGTCAAGTTGTGGTCATCTATAGGGAAAAGGTAACCATGAGCAGCGAGGAGATGGGCCAGATGAAGAGCCTCCCAGGTTTCATCCAAGCGGAGCTCCCGGGTCAGCCAGGAGACCAGGTCTGCTCCGGTAAAGACCTAAAGGAATCAGATGAACAGTTTAAAATAATTGCTGTTGCTAAAATAAGTGAAATATTTCCAACACTCACACCAATTAACCTAGCCCCAAAGTAAGCGCTGTAAGGCTTGTGTTACGGGATACTAGGGTAATAGATAGAATGCATATACTGATACATATATAAACATATTTTATGTAGAAATACATATAATATATTTCTAAAGGTGTGGTCCGACGGCGTTGTGTTGTCGCGGGCGCGGCCGTACCGCGCAGGGTTGCCACAAACATATGAGAACTCTAACGTTTAAGATTTAGCAGCGTCCATACACATATATTTCTGGATAAAATATCTTAATATATATAAATCTCGTGTCACAATGTTTGTCCTCAATGGACTCCTAAACCACTGAACCGATTATAATAAAATTCGCACACCATGTGCAGTTCGATCCAACTTGAGAGATAGGATAGTTTAAATCTCAAATTATAGTCGCAATTTTAATTTATTGCAAATTATTACTTTTGGGCGGTACGAAGTTCGCCGAGTCAGCTAGTACTTATATATGTATTAGTATATGTACTAGCAAACCAGTGAACCAAATGTTCACCAAAAAAAAATGTATTTAATTAATTGAGAACTTCGGAGATTTTGTGTGGTGTCGTTTGAAATAGAAATCACGTGATTTCTCGAAAACCGGAAGTGCTACGTTACTCAAATCCGGTTTGTAGTCTTATCAGACTATTCTTAACTTATAACTTAAACATTCTCTTTATCTATCTCTTACGGTTTGGCCGCTGAAACAGCACCACGGACGGACGGACTTGTCTATTAGATAAGAGATTCTACCCGTTTCCCAAGCATTCCATAACACGAGTCCAGTGCATACTTTGGGGCTAGGCTAATTGGTGTGAGTGTGGAAAATATTTATTTATAGAAATTTTACTAGAATGAACTTCATTTAGTTCAGAATGCTAAACAGGCAGAAAGTGAAGTTTTACTAGCACTGGATTTTTTTGAATCGGCTCAGAGTTTATTTGTTACATAATATACAAAAATACAAATCTTTATAAATTTATTATTATGATCTAACCAACGAACTAACCGAAATGACTATCCAGTTAATTTATATGCGGTAGAAGTAGGAGCGAGAGGTATACTAGCAAAAACTCTCTATAACCTTCTAAAAGACCTGGGCCTGTCGAGAACTGCAGTAAGATTCAATTTTGGAATTATTAAGTTAGGCTTCACTAAGGGTGAAGCCAAACGAGCGTAATTTTGTGAGTTGTGAGTCGCTTATTTTCGGTCACTTATTTTACGTTCAACTGAATTTCTGTTGAGCTGCCATACGAACGTAATTTATTCAGTTACTATTGAGCGTTAGTACGGGGTGTTCGTGTCGTCGAGTGCAATGGTTCCATTAAAAATATTGTGTATTTACGAAGCATATTCAGAAGATGAGGTCAGAAAAAGAAACTGAGTAAACCCACTGAATAGTCAGAGGCTGATATGTGGACAGTTCCATACTTTATATGAACGTTTATGTGCAAATCCAGATATGTTTAAAAAGTACTATCATATGCCATTACGTGTTTTTCAAGAATTATTACACCACGCAACTTATAACAAACTGTTGCTTCCCCACTCCCCTTCCTTGCCCTACCCTCACCCCGACCGAAATTCGGACGAGCTTATGCGCATTGAGTCGGCAGACAACTCATTTTGCGTTGTCGTGTGGCACCAACTGCCTTTTTGTATGAAACCGAATGCAGCAGAATTTCTGCGACCGAAATTCTGCGACTCACCACTCACAAAATTACGCTCGTTTGGCCTCACCCTAAAGGTGACGGTTCGCGCCGCGACCGCGACAGGAAACCGAGTGAGAGACCGAGACAGGAGACCGCGACAAGTGTCTCGGTCTCTTCTGTACGTACTGCGGGGCGAGACCGAGACTACAGACGCGACCATGAGACCGCAACCAACTCAGTGTCGTAGTCTCTTGATGAAGTGAATTGTGTTTTAGTGTGTCATTAAATACTGTTATGGAACGCCACCTACAGTTATGATTGGAGGAATAAGAAGACGACGATTTGCTGTTTTATTATTACTACAAAACTAAAAAATAGATTATGTATTAACGAATTATATTCAATAGGGATGATGACTAATTTTTTTTTCTTCGTTTATCAGGTAGATTATCAAAAAGTATTGGACACGTATTTTTTCTTTTATCACATAATATAAACATTGCAGAGATATATTGATAAGGGAAAATTCACTCAAAAGTGACGTCACGAGCCCCTACTCCCAAACTTTGACGCGCTATAACTTTGTCATTTTTTGGTTGATTGCCCAAAGAAAAAATACGTGTCCATTATTTTTTGATCATCTAACTGACGGACTAAATAGAATTTCGTTTACTGTACCCCGTCATCACCCCTATTAGAGGCCAGCAAGGTTCATTTTCGCTATTAGTGGAGAAAAACCAGTCATTTCTAATAAAAAAACACGTGCATTTCGGGCGCGACACGAGACACTACAGGTCCGGGACGGGCGACCGTCTCGCTGTCTTCGGTCTCGCGTCTCTGTCTCCTGTCTCTGTCGCACGCGCGAACTGTCGCCCGTACAAATCTAAAGAACAAGTGCCGGTGGCGGTCTCCTGGCTCTGTCTCTCGTCTCGGTCTCCGGTCGCGTTCGCGGCGCGAACCGCCACCTTAACAGGCTCCTATCAAATCTGGCTAGGAAGCGCGGGCAGCTCGAGCAGTGAATGCGAGCGTTGATGCGCAGATGCGCATTTTGAGATCAAAGGGGGCCTCCTTAAACCTACACCTGGGTAGCAAGTCCTGGAAACTGCTCAGAATCTCTCTCTCCCACACATTGGACCCGGCATCTCTGTATACAGATTAAAGTACTTACAGATGGTATTTTGGACATAAAACTCTTGACGGTGCGCACGGGCACACCCGTGTTCTCATCTTGCATCTTCTCAATGATTGCCTCCATCTGTAACAAACGATTTGCTTAAAGATCAATACGGCGAGTATAGAGATGACACGACGATGACGAGCTCCGTGGCCAAGTGGCACCCACCAATCCGCACTGGGCCATCGTGGTAGGTGACGGCCCAATTCCTATCCTATCCCATCCATAGGAAAATGTGCCGAAGCTCTACAGCTTACTTACTCTACATTATCATTGTTAGCCTATTATTGTAACAATGATAATAAAAACCAAACAGTTTTTATTATATAATTGACTATATTCTGCCCACAGCTGCGTCAGCATTAATTTCAGTCCAAATTTGTTCAGCCATTTTAGCATGAAAGAGTCATAAAGATCCACACATACATCCATAGAAGCATTCCTGTTTATAAAATTAGTAGGCTCAAAATAAGATTACCTTTTTGTAGATAAGGTAGTTTGGTGATTCTTCTGGTGATGGGATGGTAGACATGAGGGCCTGTACGTTCGACGGCAGACTGGAAATAGCATTGTCTTTTTTCTCTTTTTCTTCTTTGACATACTTGGAATTATCCCTGAAATATTGAAATAATAAAATTAATCAAAGAAATTATTTAAATAAGGTGGAGCTAATGTGTTCGACCTGCAGTTGTGGAAGTAAAGCAACTTTAGTATGACAGCTCCTCTGTGCTTTGTAAGGCATGTAAGTCCCAGCTACATCTACAGTCGATAACACCCACCAATCCAGACTGGGTGCTCATGATGCGCCACAGAAAAATCTCCCTATTCCATCCATAGAAAAGGCCTGTGCACCAGCAGTGGGTGCATTAATACCCTGAAGATGATGACAAGGATGATTTAATAAGGTCAATTAATACTATAAATATATACAATGGTCCACTTAAAGGACTAAGGCCCGTATTACAGAATGACAACTAAGTGTTGATCTTTACTTGAATACAGTTAGAAAGGGATGTCGCTATGTGCTATATATAGCGCCATCCCTTTCTATCTATGCTTAAGACTAGATTCATTACTGAGAATCTTTCTATAATACAGGCCTTAGTGCAGAAACCATATCCTTTAACATAGAAAAAGGTGAAATAATTTGCTCCAATTTAAAGATATAACACAACATGCTCATGTGTACCAAAGTTTGTATGAAAGCAGGTCTCATTGTTTTTTTTTTAATTATTACGTTATATTCTCTTGATAACAGTGGTCTGAGCTATTTGGTATATGTTTCTGTCAGTTTTTCAATGATATGTCAGACCCAGTCCCGGAGTGACGCTATTCCATACGACCCCGGGGGCTGGGGAGTCTCAGTGGTTTGTAAGAATACAGTAAACGAAAACACTCTTTTGCTGTTGTTGTGTTTCTGTCAGTATGTAAGGTTTTTTGGTAATCCACTGGGTAAAGAAGCGGTGAAAGTGGACAAGTAAAGTTTTGGTTTCGTAAGCATCTACCAATAAGCTATGGTGGCTAATTACTATCCGAGAGCCATATTGTTTGCCACTCTTTTAATATAAAAAGAAATATTCTAAACGTGGCATCATTAAGTGCATTCTCTCATCTGTACCACAACAAGTGTTCTGAGGAGTCATTCTCTCTGATTCCACCTTTCCTTCAGAGAACCACGCGCACTGGCCTACATTACCACCGACTCACTGTGGGCACTATTCCAAAGAGTACAAAGAAGTTTGGTGACTCATTTCTTTGTCGCACTATCCATAAATGGAATCCTCTGCATACTCACGTGTGCCCTCCTTCTTACAATCTGGGATCTTTTCAAAGAGGCCTGAAGAAGCAACATGCAGGCCCGCAGGGTGAGGGTGGCTGGTGTGGCAGGTAGAACTGCTGTATCAGCTATCTTCGCGTCTGGACTTCACCTTCACTTAACATCAGGTGGGGTGGAGTCGTTTGTCAGACCTATCTAAAAAAAAAAGTCTGAACTGTCCTAAGAACTTCAAATGCTGGACTTTGAGTAATAAAAAACAAAGAATGTGTTCAAGCTACTAAGCTGATGAAAATGAAAGAAATAAACATCAGTCCCATAGCCACATCAACACCTTAACACCATTTTTGGTAGTAGTGGGCTCTAACACGCTGTCCATAAAACAATTGACCAGAAACTTTATCATACATATATTTTGTGGACACCACTTTAGAGCCCATTACTGCCAAACATGGTGTTGTTAAGGTGTTGATGTGGCTATAGGACTGATGTTTATTTGTTTCTTTTAAAATAATCCAGAATGAGACTGAGTCCCAACTTTTTTTACTTTTAAATGTAATAAAACAATAATTTGTATACAAACCTCGATGGCCCCTGTTGACAGGCCTTTTGTGCCGCCTTTTCCGTAGAGTTCATGGTAACCATTTTAATTAGAACACTTTGTGACACTGCCAACACCTATGAATTTATCACCACCTCTTTACTCCATTCTTTAAAGGATTAAAACTCGATCATGATGATTTGTGGTCCCTTTCACATCACCACTAACACCTCAACTGCTATGTTAATGTGTAAACATTACAATAAACATGTTTACATTATAAAATTCAATACTTTACAGCACCATACTAAAAGACATTTTCACGACAGGTTAATACACTTTATCACTAATTCACAAAGGTCTTGTAAGCGACCAAGTATGTTAGATTGGATTTGTTTATTCAGAACTTGTATTTACAAAACTTTTATCATAACATTTCTCGTTTTTATTACAGAAAAATATAAACACGTATAATTTATCTTTTAACTGTTTGTAACGTTAGAATTTTGGCACCAACACCACTAAAAGCACATTAATGAAAACTAAGACTTAAATAAGTCATGTTTTCATAAGCCAACAACATAAAACGTAGTAAATATTCTTCATTTTTAGAAATACGAAGACTGAAACGTCAAATTCACATCGCCATTTAATCCATTTTTTAGCAGAACGGAAAAGAAAGAGACGCATCCATACGTGTTCTTGTTGTGCGCAAGAGAAAAAAAACCAATGTCTTGTAAAATACGGCAAAATACAAAAGAGGAAATCCAAATGATCATAGAAACGTATTGGTGGTCTTTTTAATTTTATTTCCTAACCCCTATAGAGGGCGCATGTTTGAGAGAAGTTTATTGAACGCTCGCTCTCTATTTTTAGAGTAAAGATACAGAAATACTTATACATCTTTCGGTACAAATAATTAATTTTAATTAATATTTTAAACAATAAGTTTAAGTTAAGATAAATAAAGAATTTGATTTTTTTGACCTAAATAATTGAAAAAAAGCAGATTTAGTCAGGTACTTAAATAATAGATGGCGGTAGTGTTGAGAAATGAGAAGCAGGTAAGGCAAGACGGGCTCATTTCCAAGTTCTTTTTTCAAATTTCAAGTATGGTTCAAATCACAGATTTGATGGACTATGTACTAAGGTTTACAGAAACTAAAACATCAATTATTTACTAGGTACGCAATATGGTGAGATAACCCACAGAAATAAGGGACGAGAAGATCAACGACGCCACTTGGCTCAAAGTAAAAACACATAACATACAAAGGTATATTTATATATATTTCGTAAAAATGGTTAACAAAAGATAGTCTGGAAACAATATTGACTTGATTTATAGTGACAGAATTATCCATCCTTTGCCTACGAAGTTCGTAGGCAAAGGAAGAAGAAGAAGCTTTGTCTATCTCCACGGTTAAATGGAACTTTGGATTCATACATAATTCAGCATCGAAGCATTATGAATTACTTACAAGTAAACTCACTTACCTATCACCGTGATATTCGCCGGTGTGATTTGAAATTTATATGAAATTCGTGTTCTAATTTCAAATCACACCGCGGATTCCGAGGTGAAAAGTAGATTTGTTCTTACAGATAGCACTGCAGTCGACTGATAGAAGGTCAAACGCCTATCTATAATAGTGGGTTCCACCGGATAAGGAACCCTTAATAAGTGTTTGGAATAATACAATAATTGAATTGGCATCGCTGTAAATATATTTTTTATTATCACGGAACTGTTTCTAAAGCATAAATAAGGAATCGGAATGCATTGCGACCTCGCAACCGAAAGTTGTCAACCTTTTAAACGTTGGAGTCGCAGCACACATATCAACCCGAAAACGTCTTGATATGAGGATGTTTTTTTTTGTTTCCTCCCAGGCGGGTAGGGTTACCAACTTTTTTTCCATCAAATATAGTATTTTAGAAGCTGTTACCTCTAAAAATATAGTAGATGGCAAAAAAAAAATAGAGTATCCACATAATCTCACGATTGGAGTTTTTTTTTCATTATTAATTTGCAGTTTCTGAGAACATTTACCATAGTAGTGTATATTTTTTTATACCATCAGAAAGTAGAGATTTCAACAAACAAAAAACACCCCAACTTTTTTAAAAAAGCAGATATTTTGACGTGAGAATTTCGATTGAAAATAAGGGTGCTTTTTCAATATTAAGTCAAAATAAGGTGAAAAAATGAATATTTTAAATCAAAAAAAATACTGTATGTTTGGGACATACAAAGGTAAGTTTTCACCAAATTTCGTGAAAAAATAATTTTTTTTGCAAAAAATAAAAATCAAAAACCAAAAACTCGGTTATTCGTATTTTTTACAGCAATTTTGAGGTTATGTGAAAAAAGTGTCGATACAAAAGTTGTAGATCTTTTTATTACCTACAACTTTGCCATTAAACTTTTTTTCATAGGACTTGCAGTTTTACCGGAAATCGAGATTAACCATTTTTTACCCTTAAAACCTCACCCCCTCCCCCTTCCCGACCTCAGATCGCCCGTAATTTATTTTTCCTTTCATTTTTGTTATATTCTCTACCTTTTCTAATGGGTTTCATCCTACTATAATTTTTTTTGGTCTCAAAAATTATCGACCCTGGTCTAACAGCCGGCTGCAAGTTTATGTCAGGCTCTTACTGACTAAAAAACACCCGTTGGGACTGCCTCTAGCCGGGAAGGCCTTCAAGGCTTCATCGGATGCGATCGTCACCTTAGAAGAGGATGATGCAGTGAGGATGAGTCCCACCCGTCCGAAAATAAATACTTTGCCATTCCATCCCGCGTACAACCCGGGGTCCTTTGAAAGAGACGTGAAGAAGCAAATTACAGGCTGTCAAGATGAGGATGGCTGGTGTGGCGGGTAAAACTGCTGCACCAACTCTATGGCCGTATACAGAAAGAAAGCCGAAAGCCAATCGGCGCCGATCGGCGCTTATCGGCGCCGATCGGCGCCGATCCTTCCTACATAAAGGAAGCCGATTAAAGCAGATCAAGCAAAATGTCGGACTCATCGGACGATGATTTGGTTTTGTTAGAAAATATTTATTTACAAATGCGAAAAACAGTTATACATCCTATAAATAGAGAAAGGAAACGTTTCAGAGAATACCATCATTAATTTGTAAAAAAAAAAAATTTGATGAACAAAGATTTTATACATATACAAGAATGATTCAAAAAACATTTTATTACATTTTGGATTTAGTGAAAAACCGTTTGATGAAAAATTGGGGCAATTGGCATAAACAACCAATCCTTCCAGAAGAAAGACTTGTTGTCACCATTCGGTAAGTACGAAACAAATAATTTTAGCGCTTAGTTAATAAAAGATAAAGTTATTAGATTTATAAAAAGATTATAACTTAGATTGATTTAATCTAAGGATAATAATTAAAATACAAATTATTTATTATTCGGACCAGCGCGTGTCGGCGCTTATCGGCGCTTATCGGCGCCGATCGGCGCCGATCAGCGCCAATCGGCGCCGGTCCATAGAAAAAGGATCAGCGTCAATAGGCGCCGATCGGCTTTCGGCTTTCTTTCTGTATACGGCCTATCTTTGCATCTGGACTCCACCGTGTTAAGAATATTACTGGTCTGTGACTTACAGCACTATTTAACCTATGTATGTTATCTATGGTGTACTCTCTCTGCTAAATAAAATGGCTGACTGCAAAGTATGGTTTCCTTTTATTCTCCAAACTTAATACACCGTCACATAACATTAGGTGGGGTAGAATCACTAGCTTTTTTAAACACTGTGTTTTTTTTTATTTAGCCAGGAAGGCAAATGACTCTACCCCACCTGATGTTAAGTGGTGATAAAGTCCAGACGTTTCTCAGGTAACTCAAAATTCACGGTGCAACCTAAACTTTTTTTTTTATTTAGAAATTTAACGGCTTTGGACAAGTCCATACAGCCTAACCAACAAATTTGACAACAGTGTATCCTTGTCATTCTTTATACAGAATGAAAGGAGGAAGAGGATTTAAAATTTACTTTTAAGAGCCCTTTTACAAAATTGCGCCGCTCCCGTACTGATCGCGGCGCGTAGGTAGATTTGCACTAGTGTAAATTGCATTTTACGGTTGATGTTTCGAGTCTTATAAAATAATGATTAATGAGCTAATTATAAAAATATATACATATTTCAGTAGTTCAATGGTGGCAGATTAGTTGTATGAAAGTTTTTGATTCTTCTTCTTCCAGTGCCTCTTCAATCCTGAAAGTTGGCCGTTAGCTTCCTGCATGTTGTTCTGTCAGCAGCCAGCCGGAACAGCTGTTCGACGGAGGCAATACCGGTCCACTCCCGGATATTCCGGAGCCATGACTTTTTTCTTCGCCCAGCATGTCTCTTTCCGTCCACTTTGCCCATCATTATCAACTGCAGCAGTATGTATCTGTTGTTCCTGAGCACGTGGCCAAGATATTCTATCTTGCGCTTTTTGATAGAAGGCAACATTTTCCGGGACATATGAACGCGCTGAAGCACGGTTTCGCTCCTGACCCTCTGCGTCCAACTAATGGTAACACCACATCTCGAATGCCTGTAGGCGTCTTGTAGTGTCTTCTTGCAGGGTCCACGTTTCGCAACCGTACATGACGATAGGCCAGATATAGCACATGAGTAGCCTGACTCGGAGCTTTATATTCAGTTGACGACAGCAAAGAACTTTCCTCATTTTATTAACAAGTTTCGATGTCTTTTTTGATAATTAATGATATGGAAAATCAAAATTCTAATACATTATGTTACAACAAAAACATATTTCTGGTAATTAATTTGATCTAATTTATTGAACATTATTGAGAGATTGAGGCGTTTGAAGTTGTGCATGTTATCGTTTTTTCCGTAAACTAGCTGCGGTAGAACGATCAGTACAAAAAAAGTAAAATAGTATTTGCAAATATTCTACATTATCTTACAATAGGAAGAGTAATTCTACTGTTTACTTCTATTGAAAATAGTCAAAATCTTATCTAAGGGCGTAAACGAGACGCTCAAAAATTACGATTTATTGCAAAAATGTGAAAGGCCTCTAAGTTTATAGAGAAACACGACAGAATCGAAACCCAGGTAATTATGACGCTTTAAAGTTATATCGTTAAAATATACTTAATTTCTGTTAAATTGATTGAAAACTAACAATTACCTAAATTATTAAATATATGAGCGCGATGACGCAGTTGGTTAGCGCGTTGGGCTGTAAGAGTGGAAGTTACACAACTTTCTCAATGGTTGGTCACGGAATGGGTGACCAAAAACTTATTACTTATCTCGAACTCCTCCGTGCTTTGCAAGGCACGTTAAACAGTTGGTTCCGACTGCATCTGCAGTCGTTTGGAACAACCAATCCAGACTGGGCACGTGTGTTGGGTCACGGAGCCAAATTCACTATCTATGTCATTCATATGCCTTGATCACACGTACCCAGCAAACGAGCGAGACAGGTGCTCTCGGCCGAGTTCTCGGTATGTATTTAAACATAGCGCCCGCCGCCGCGTGCCGAATGCTTGTTTGAGCGCTCTTAAATTGCTGTTTGAGATTTATCAGTCTCTATATAATATGATACTAGGTAAATAGAAATCTTGTACACTCTGTGACGGCACAATGAAGATGTA